GCTCTGAAGGCAGCGCCATGCCAGCAGCAGCGCAGAAGTAAGGGAGGCAATGTGAAGAGTGATATTTGTCAACATGATCTTAGCCTGACAACCCTCTGTGAGGTAGAACTTGACATCTGCATTTTGGAGGGTGGTTTTGCAGAAAAGGCGACTGTGGCCCAGAAGAGTTAAATGACCTGGTTCAGGTCATACAGTGAGTCAGTGGTAGGGACTGATTTAGTACCCAGGTGTCTTGGCTCCCAGCCCTGTGTTTTAATCACAACATCATTCTTCTTCCCTGTCACAGAGCGAGCTCAGGCACTCGGCTCCTGGAGGCAGGGCTGGGCAATGCATAGCCTTCCCCTGAAATAACCATTATCCAGCTAAACCCCCGGATCATTATCCTGTACCTGCCTGGCAAAAAGTTACCCCATGGAATGTACTTTGCATATGTAACTTTTTATGATACGTATGGTAAGATACTAGGCACTGATCCTCCACCCAGCTTTAATGGGACTTTGCAGGAGTGCAGGGCTTTGCTCGCATGGGGTCAGTTCAGGCTCGGGGCCCTGCTTTGTGAGTTCTTTGGGGCAGGGACTGGGCCTTCTCCTGGCTAGCACATAGTAGGCTGTACCATCAGGGCTGGCGCAACCCATTAGGTGACCTAGGTGGTCGCCTAGGGCACTAACATTTTGGGGGCGGCGACCGCGGTGGCCGCGGCGGCCGGATCTTCGGCCGCCCCAGTCGTCGGCGGCATTTCGGGGGCGGGACCTTCCGCCGCCTCTGTCGGGGGTGGCATTTCAGGGGCGGGACCTTCCGCTGCGTAGGGCAGCAAAAAAGCTGGCGGCGCTCCTGTGTACCATAACACAAAAATGGTGTCTCTGAGTCAATACAAATACACAGAAGTTGTCAGGATACTCCCACAAGTACGTACTCTGCACGCAGGCAGGCATCAACCCGGACTCACTGCACCTGCTCAGGCAGACGCACCTCTAACAATGGTTCAGTGCACCCGCTTAGTTGTCTGGGAACTCTGAGGGGAAAAGCCCCTCCTTGGGGGACAGGTAATGGGGCTCAGTCTCATTTAACCTGCCCTATCATCATGACGGGGGCCGGGGATCCTCCTTAAGCTCTCAGATCCAATTCCAACAGTGCCTAGAAGGCGGTTCCAGCAAGGGTAGGGGGAGGAACATTACAGATGAGCGGGAAAGGGGAATACAGGACTGGGGGGTGGGGGGAAGGTGACATGGGAAAATGCCAGTTCACCTTCACTAGGATGCTTACAGGGAGACCTGCAGGGAACCCTGGCTTGTTCCTTAGGGATTTCCTCTCCAGATCCCTCTTCAAAACACAGCTTCAAGCACTCCTCCCGGTCTTCTCCTGACCAGTCATCCCCTCACCTGGCCTCTCCTGAGATCTGTCCTGGGTCTTCCTTGTCTGTGTGGATGGCCGGCGCTGTGGGGCGGGGTCTGGGTCTGCAAAACGCACTGGACGTGTGTGGTGCGATAGAAATGATTCATTGCACTAAGAGTGGCGCCTCCTCCCCGGAGCAGGGAAGCTGTGGTTTTAAAGCATTCGATTAAACCATTCCCTCGGTGCTCTGCCGCCACTGAGCCTGTCTTTCTCCCTCACAGGTACAAGCTGGTGGAGCTGGTGTGCTACGTTATCATGGGATTCTTCCCCGCCCTAGTGATCCTTTCGATGGTAAGTGACTCGGCTCAATGCGCTGCTCCCTGTCCTCTGAAGAGCCTGGGCCACAGCTGGAAGGATTTCTCTAGTGCAGAGGTGGGCAAACTACGGCCCCGGGGGCCACCTCCGGCCCTCCAGACATTTTAATCCTGCCCTCAAGCTCCCACCGGGGAGTGGGGTCAGGGTATTGCCCCACTCTGCACGGCTCCCAGAAGCAGCAGCATGTCCCCACTCCGGCTCCTAAGCGTAGGGGCAGCCAGGGAGCTCCGCACGCTGCTCCCACCCCAAGCGCCAGCCCCACAGCTCCCATTGGCTGGGAACCACAGCCAATGAGAGCTGCAGGGGTGGTGCCTGCGCACAGGGCAGCGTGCGGAGCTCTCTGGCTGCCCCTACGCTTAGGAGCCGGAGTGGGGACGTGCTGCTGCTTCTGGGAGCCGTGCAGCCTGGCCGCGCCTCCGCATAGGAGCCGGAGGGGGGACATGCCACTGTTTCTGGGAGCTGCTTGAGGTAAGCACCACTTGGAGCCTGCCCCCCTGACCCCGTCCCATGCCCCAACTCCCTGCCCCAGCCCCGATCCCCCTCCCACCTTCTGAACCCCTCGGTCTCAGCCCGGAGCACCCTCCTGCACCCCCAACTCCTCATTCCCAGCCCCACCCCAGAACCCGCATCCCCAGCCGGAGCCCTCCTGCCCTTCTGCACCCCAACTCCCAATTTCGTGAGCACTCATGGCCTGCCATACAATTTCCATACCCAGATGTGGCCCTCGGGCCAAAAAGTTTCCCCACCCCAGTCTAGTGTGACTCCCTGCCGTTAAATGCCTGCCGTGTACTGTACGGGGCGCCCACTTCTCAAACTTGCATGGCTCCGTCGGAACATTTGGACTCTCACAGTGGCCCTTAGCTATCCCAACATCCCTTTTGAGTGGAACTAGGCTCCCTAATCTGGGCTCAGAGCTTAGGCTCCTTTTGGGGGGAGCGGTCCCATATAAAGGTGAAATACTGGGCCGAATCCCTGCTGGCTGATGTGGGAGCGACACGCCGGTGGGGCTGTTTGCCCTCTCTCTCCAGCCATTGGTGCCGCTATTCCGTCTCAGCTGTGCCCGAAGGAGAGGGCACTGCAATAGGGTCAGTGCAGCATCCCCACCGCTGACCCTTATCTTTCCTTGTGTTTGCGAACAGCCGAACCGAGATGGCCTCTTGGAGCTGATGGCTGGTGGGCTTTTTTACTGCCTGGGCACGGTGTTCTTCAAGAGCGACGGACGCATCCCCTTTGCCCATGCCATCTGGCACCTCTTCGTGGCAACCGGAGCGGGCATCCACTACTATGCCATTTGGCGGTACCTCTACCGGCCCGACGCGCTGGAGGCCAAGACGTCCAGATAAGAGCCCCAATGACACGGGACACGCAAATCGGCACTTGGGGACAGATTTCCCAAGGAGCTTGGCTCTGATTCCTGCCGGAAAGCCATTCCCAGGGCCCGCTCCCCTGATGGGAGGGAGTCACTGGTGTCCGTCTCCAGCCAATCTCACGCAGACGGAAGAGCCCGAAAGGTTTATTTTAAACTGATTTTAACCTTGTATAGTGTTCAGTTGTTAGGCAAATGTTTCGTAACAAAATGAACAGCTAATGGGGTTGCTGGCGGAGCGGACTGACCCGACCAGGGCAATGGTCTTTGTACTAAGGCTTTGTTCACATGGTCCCGAACAACCTTGAAACTTGCAAAACCCTCGTCCAGATGGGAGCCCCGAACCAGCAGGAGCCCAGGCTCTGCAGTTCTGGCTGCTGGACCCTCTGGCGGCTTTCAAGGGGAGAGGCTACCCTTAGATAGAAGCCGTTAGCTCCAGGAGGGACACTGGAGGCTGGTGATGCAGGAAGGTGGATAGGCAGAATGGACACTTAACACCAGAGAACACCACCAGGATAAGAGCATAAGGTACCAGGTTTGTTTCCCACTCTAACGAGCTTCCACTGGCAGATAGTGAAGGGGACAACTTCTTAAACAAGGCTCCTTGATTCTGCCCAGAAAGGAGAGCAGGCAGGAGATGTCAGACCTCACATGTCTGTCATCTGACGGGGCTCTTTTTTAGGGTTTTTTTTCCTTAAAGGGCTAGCCCCCCGCTCCCTCCGCCCCTACTGTACAACTAACTTCAGGGAAAGCAGGTTCTTGTAGCAGCAGACGAGCAAGGTGAACCTGAGCTTGGTTTAACCAGGGGCAGTTAAGATCACGTTTCCCCGGCCCACAGCGTTCTGAAGGCAGAGAGTGGGGCTGGAAAAGAGGTTCTGGGTCTGGCCAGTCTGTAGCAGCGGGATAAAATCTTAGTGTGGGGTCTGATTGGGATCCCAAGTGTGGAGGTGGGATGCAAAGGGAGTCAGGGAGCCTGCCTCACCCTAGGATGAGTTACCACTCATAGGACCAAGTTTAACTCTGGCCCGGGGACCGACTGGCCCTGGGGCTGAATTCCCTTTTTGAATACAGCTGCCAGTGTCGCAATCTGCCAGAGAAGGAGCAGGGCTGGCCGTTCCTAGGTTTCTGTAGGGAGAGTTGTTTCCATTGACGTTTTAAATCTCGTCTCTGTAGAGTGGGGAGGATTCGCACGCTGTATCCCTGTGCACAGCTCTTTAGCTGTATCCAGAGGAAACCGCTCCCCTTCTAGGGCTTTCATCACTCTTGTTTCCACGCAGAGATTTCGGTGTGTATGTCTATGCAGCGCAAAGAGACCCAGGCCAGCAAGTCTCAGAGCCTGGGTCGACTGACTCCGGCTCGCGCTGCAGGGCTAAACATAGCAGTGTGGACATTCAAGTGCGGGCTGGAGCCTGGGCTCTGAGACCCTCCCCCCTTGCAGGGTTTCAGAGCCCAGGCCCAGCTCAAACAGCTGCCTCCCTAGCCCCCATCGGTTGACTCTGGCTCTGAGACTTGCTGCTGTGGGGTTTTTAGCTGTGTAGATGTATCCTTAGTGATTTCACTCCTTCTGTATCCTTTAGAAAGGCTCTGTACATGCAACGGTGTCTATTCTTCTCTGCTCTCCTCCTGCTGCTGGGTGAGGATCCCTTATGTTGCCACAGACCCTCTAGTTACTAAGGGGGTGTCAAAATGCGCATGGTTAGCATGCCAGAACAGTGGGCTAAGCACCAGCAGTTTCTGTTGACTTCTACTAAGGTTGCAGGTGCACAGCACTTTGGAAAATCTGTGTTGTCCAAGGCTTCGGTATGCAGCAAATAGGGCAGGGGTGAAAGTGAGCCGGGACGGGACGGGACGGTGTACCGGTAAGAAGCCGGTACCGGCCCGTATGCAGCCCACGTTAACGTCATTGCCCCTTTTGCCCACCCCAGGCCGCCGACAGGGCGGGGCAAAAGGGCAGCTGCCCCGGGGCCGGCGATTTAAAAGGGTCCAGGGCTCCCGGCCACCACCGCTGCTACCGCGGCAGCGGCCGGAGCCCCGGGCCCTTTTAAATCGCAGCTGGAGCCCCAGGTGGCAGGGGCCAGGCAGTGCAGATTGGCTGGCTGGGGGAGGCTGACCCCCCCAGCCCTGCCCCTTCCACCTGAGGCCCCGCCCCTTCTGGGGGCCAGAGCTGACCCCCGTACCGGTAGGAATTTATTATGCTTTCACCCCAGAAATAGGGTCTGGTGAAGGGGTAACCTGGGGGTAGGGGTCCTGGGGAATCAGTTCAGTGGGAACCCCAAATTCCAAGGGTGTCTCTTGGCTGGGGTAGGGATTTGGCCTCCATGCCCTGGGATTCAATTTTTTACCCTAGTTCCCAGGCCTTAGTTACAGCAGGGAGATAGGAGAGAGTTTCACTAACAGAGCCAGGGCAGGCCTGGAACCCTGCACTTTCTCCCCAGGATTTGAAGTTTGTTTTAAGTGTTTAATCAGATCACAGAAAACTCCTAACATCCCCTGTCCCCAAATGCTGCTGAATGCTAACGTCTTAGTTTATGGAACAAAGCAAACAAGCCATCGCCCCTGCTAGCCTCAGAGTGACCCCCCGGCTATGGAATGGAGATGGTTATTCCAGCAGCGCATCTGCCCTCACCAGCGCTCTGCAATCCAAAGACCAGCTGAACTGATAAGCTTCCAGCTGGAGCCATCTATTTTATCTGCAGCTGCAATACCTCAACTGGCCACATGTGGATGAGGGGGCAGCACTGAGTTGGGACCCCAGTGCTTGAAATGAACTCTGCCCAGGTTTGCTCGCGAACGATATGATCTATAAAAGCACTTTGTGATTGGAGGGCCCAGGGTCAACAAAGCCTTACATGTGACTGAAACTTGAATCCATTCCAGGACTCCCTAGGGTCCCTGAGCACTGGAAAACCTTGCGTCTAAGCCAGTATTAAGCGTACAACTCTGTACATTCCTTATAGATGGGCATTCAGACATTTCGTACATGATGCACTTTGCTTTCCTCCCCATCTTCAGTCCCAGCTGTGGCTCAAAAGCGAGATCCCCATTCAAAGCGTTTGCCAATTGTGTGCCTTTGCCCGGCAGAGGGAAGAAAGTGAATCTGGATCAACCCCTCCATCTGGCTGGATCACGATTCACTCGATATCGTTTTTTGCAAACTAGAAATGTAAACCTGCTAGAATAATCTAGAAAATGTGGATCGGGATTCAGGGGTTTTGTGTGTCCTCCTTGTGCTGCATGCATTCAGTAGGCTACACAGGGGTTAGCGCCGTTCTCTTGATGGTTGTCAGCAGTCTAGATTTGTAGCTACTCTTAGGAGAATCTTTATAGCTCCAAAACCCATGTGTGATGGACTCTTCCATTTAGCATGCAGTGGGTGTGTGGAGAGGGGAGATGGATCATTATGATGCTATAATTTTGGGTAGATAATTGAACAGGATTTTTAATGGAGATATCCTATCTCCTAGAACTGGAAGGGACCTTGAAAGGTTATTGAGTCCAGCCCCCTGCCTTCACTTGCAGGACCAAGTACAGATTTTGCCCCAGTTCCCTAAGTGGCCCCCTCAAGGATTGAACTCATAACCCTGGGTTTAGCAGGCCAATGCTCAAACCACTGAGCTATCCTTCTTTATACTAAAGAAGTTCCATGTCAGGGTGGGAAACTCTGTTGTATGACTAGAGCGCCACCCATTGCAATATCTTGGTGCTGGCCCCTAATAAAACACACGCATGGTAGTGGGAATGGATGTCAGGGAGAGGGGCTGTCAGGAGGCAGTTGTCAGCCAGGAATGAGGGGCCTATTGGGGCTAAGGATCTCCCTCAGGGTGAATGTTGATACTCTGCAGACAATCGGATGCCTTTGTGTCTGCGCTGGATTCAGATGAGCTTGCCAGATTCTTTACCCAGTTCTTTGGACCACCCTGAATGTGGAGAACGTACATTCTGTCTCCTGTCTCTCTGGTCAGTGTCTGCAGATTGCTGTTGTTTGTTCAGGGTCCCAGCAGGATTCCGACCCCAAGTCATGAACCTGACTTCCAGCAGGTACAACAGAATGATCATCAATGGGAGATATCAGAGCTTTTACGGTTCAAATGCCCTCAATCACTATTATTCCCAGCAACGGTGCAGTGAGTTTTTGAATGAACGGCCATCGACTTGGATTGGGATTTTTAATACAGGATCATTAGGAACTGAAAGCTGTTTTATTCCTGTATTCTGGCTTCCTGAACTGTTATGGGTGAGTGAGATTATGGCCTTGATTTACACATGCAATATAAGGTAATTGCACATGTAAATATCTGACTGCAATTGCACCCTCATTATGGGACAGGTGAGTGGGTGGGCCTCTGCTTTATCAAATGGACATGATCTCCATTTCCTTGATCTGTTGCTGGGAAGCTCTGGAGTGGAAATAATCTCTCGATCTAGAAAGGAAGGGTCAGGCTGAAAGTCATGCGCTGATTTTTAATTATTAATATTGAGGGTGGCATTGAGCTGGCGCTGCCTGCAGATCTCAGACCATCACTCCACAGCTCCCTACCTGCTGACCTCACAGCTGAATTTCCAAAACCCTCAGGCCAGGCTCCACCTGAGAGTCTGGAACCTGGGGCAGAGATTTCCATCTCTGGCCATTAACTCCTTAGGCAACTCTTTGCTGGTCCCTTCGGAAGGGAGACAATGGGCCAAATTAATGGCTAGTGCATCTCCATTGACTTGAGATACATACACCAGGGATGGGCTTGGCCCAGTAACTCTATAACAGAGTTGAACATCATAGGCCTCTCATGTGAAGTGCACAGCCTCAGCCTCTGGTTTTAACCCTGCAGAGAGAGCGCTCTGGATCTCTGTGGGTAAGTCTACAGTGCGGCTGGGAGAGGCACCCCCTGCCCAGGTAGACTGACTTGCGCTAGCTCTGCTGGTGCTAAAAATAGCAGGGTGGAAGTTGCAGCACACTCCGTGGCTTGGGCTAGCCACCTGACTCTAAGCCTGCCCGCCCCCCGAGCTCCAAGCATACTTTTAGCAGCTAGAACAGGGCTAGTGCGAGTCTGTCTTCCCCGGGCTGGGAAGCCCGCTCCTAGCTGCAGTGTAGACATACCCTGTGGGTCTGGAGTTTGCAGATCAGTGACACTGA